GTGTGACATGTTAACTGATTGTTAACTCATTGGATAATCAGTACAATAAAAAATATAACTATGAGATACTGTTAAAAAACAATAAGTCTTTCCACATCACTCTCACATGTTCATGTCATGAGGGAGGTTTATACAATATAAAGTTCTAATGACCCTCCACGTGTGTCCACAGTTGATGTTATGCAGTGACAGTAGTGGACTGATTAACTTGCCTTCGGGAACTGAGGTAACAAAAAAAAGCTGCTGGAGCCACTATAACCCCATTTCCCCCTTTACCAAGCTGGCTCTAAATTTGCTCTGCTAACTAGAATTTCATAAAAGGAGGCACACATTAAGGAGTCCTGAACATAGGCACCATCTTAAGACAGTACCTTCTGGTTAGAAAATATATGATACCCTTATCATGTTATCAAGTAACTTACATTTGCACAGAACAGCAATGCTACAACTTATAGGCCCTTTACATGCCATGTCTCTGGAGATTTTTTTTAGACTTTTAACATTCTAAAGATATATGGATCATTTTAGATTTTGCAGGGACGACCTGAACAGTATTTCTTTTTGCTATACTGGCTCCTCCAAAAAGCATGCATAATCAAAATCTTCACCTGCAAACTGAACATGTAAAACACACAGTTGTTCTGCACTGTCTCTTCTGAAAAGTATTTGGTTTGGCTTCAGCACATTAGACGAGATTTAAAGATTTTTAGAGTACCAAGCATTTCTGTTGGAGCTCTGTGTGACCTGCTGGTGCCAACTGGCTGTGATTTCTTGGACCAAAGACACTGATAGTTAAGCCATCCTGGGCTCCAGGGATTAATGACTCCTTGCACATTGAGAAATGTTTACCACTCGCCAGCGACCACTTCACTAGAGGCACTAAGAGCTCTGTCACTGAAACAATAACGCAGTCTGAAAAGCCCTCATAATTCAGGGCTCCTCCGCCTCTGTCTTTTAACCAAAGCTTTAATCAACGTTTATGACATCCCTTTGTCTCTTTATTGCCAATATATTTTCCAACCAATCCAAACATTATGCTCCCAGAGGAGCAGACTATTAAGGTTGAAAAGAGCCGATACAGTTTTGGGTCAGTGACCCACACTAAAGCAGATTTGATCTATATTATACTAAACCTTTTATTATTATGCCTTTGTTCAGGGCTTATGTGCGAAAGATCACCTTGGGAAGATTACCCCCGGTGAGGATGCTTTGTTGCAGCAGGTGCAAAAGGTGAAGGAGGCTAAATCACAAACATGTCAGACAGGCTTTCAATTAAAAAAAATATACAACACCTTCAGATAGATTTCATTCCAATAAAGAAAGACAATGAGTTTCTAATAAAATAGAGATTGCAATGAATACATTGTAACCTGTTCTTTAAACTTCAACATTACAACACCTCAGCCTGACATATAAGATGGTGGTTTAAACTGTAGATTCTGTTTCTATATTCACTTCAATTCTTAATAATATGTTTAAGTGTAAAGGTGCAAAAAAAGTTGGAGTAGAAAAATACAGCATATTTTTTAGCCAGGTTTCTTATACTTGATATATACTAAATATCAGAATAATTTAATCTATCATGAGTAATTCTCTGACAAATGATGTTGTGTATTGTTTAAATGTAGAGATTCTGCTCTGTACAAACTGCTGGCACATCTCCAATTTATTTTTGTTATTTTGATCAAGTGTTTATCAATAGATTATAAACCATGAGTGAGTATCAAGATTATTTACCAATATATGCATGCAAGTTACATTTGCATGTTCTATAATATGAGAAAAGGGATTTCAGTAAAAAGGGAATCCTTTATTCATCTTCTTGGATGTACAGTCTATAAGATAATGGAGTGTTTTGTGGTGTGATTTCTACAAATCTTATCAAATGTACAACATTATTTCATGCATTTGTCTGTATTTATCAGAATTATATTCTGGGTGCATTAACATTTTTTGCAAACTATAAACAAACAAAATTACAGCTTAAAGCTGCAAGCTCTGACCAATATCCCAAAAACTGTGAAAGCGTATAAGAGATAAGACTAACTTTAGCTAAGAGTCAGAGTTGTTGTCTATTTATGCTGGTTTAATGGAGATCCTGAACATTTGAAGAGGATGCTAGTTTTTGAAGATGGTTAAGATCAGGTAATATTTCAAGATGGATGACCTCAGGAAATGATAGTGGTACTACCAAAGAATGACCATTGTTCACAATGTCCATCGAAATAAAGAAGTTACTCTGGAAAGAAAATGATTCTTCAGCTTTGTCATCATCTACTTTCAACATAGCATGAATATTACTTTATTAAACAGCTGTACTATAGACCTAATTCATGTTCATGGAAATCTAGGGAACTTGCATCTTTTAAACAATAGACACGGTTAGGGTCTCCAGGTGAAAGGTTTTTTAAAGAATCATCTTCTGACTGAAGGTTCCAAGCCAACTGGTGCAAACTTGTGTTCTGGGTGGCACAACATCCTATAAAGCAGCACATTAAAATTGATAACAACAAAACATATGTGCTGGGAGGTTCCCAGCAGATAACCTCAGTGACATTCCTGCACTCAGACACTAAGCCCGATAACCGCTACATATTGAAGCTGGTGCTGGGTGTGTGTGTGTTGACGCTTTGATTTATTCTGGAAGAAAATTTCCTCTTTGCTCAGAAATTGTGGAAAAATACATCCCTCTTTTGAATCCTGAACTGGGCTGTTCCCAGCCTGGATAATCAATGTCATCTACAAGCATTCATAATTGTTCTATTGCTAGGTTTTAAAAAAGTGTCATCTGTTTTTAGTGATAACATTTGAAATCAATTTAAGATCATTCACTCTGGCATTTAAAACATGTCCTACAAAATACTAATTCATAAAAACAATGATGATTAGGCTTGAAAAAAAAAAAGATCAGTTTTGGGAACTTTTTGGGGTTCTGTGTGTTTTACTTCAACATGATAAGTCTGAAATTACGACAAGTGTTATCTGGGTGTGAGGAAGAATACGTGTGTTTTTCTCTTCACGTCAAATCTGTGGTACAGCACTAGCTCAAACTTGGCAAACAGAGCGCTGCAGGGTTTAGTCACTAACCAGCAGCTACTAAATGTGACTTTGCTGGTCGGTTTCCATCGCAATCAGAACAATCTAATTTAGGTCATCTCTGTTACAGAAAATCATTTGTTACCTCTAATGTGCTGTAAGAAAATTGAGGAGTGATGATGAACTTGACTTGAGTTACTGAATCCTCATCAGGCGCAACCAGAAATAAATAGCTAAGGATTGGCACTGCAAGTATTAAAAGTAAAGTCATCAGCTTTCTCAAACACAAGGCCATGTGTGACATAATGCTCGCAAACTAATGTCTCATGGTTGTCAAGAACAACTGGAAAAATGTTTAACCATGACTGTGGTGCCTGGTCTGAAATTGGACATGGGAATGATGATCACCCATTACACCATCACTAGGCACAAACTCAATGGTACTGCCCAGTCAATAAATGTAAAAACTCAGGAGGGAAAAAAAGTAACTGTAATTTTAAATTCTTCAACATTCTTCTACATCTGGCATCAGATCTTCAACAGATTCTACATTCCCATAAGGGCACACGATGTTTACTTTCTACATATAAGCAATGTTTATTCTTAAACATTGTGGAGACATCAGTTTGTTTTAACTTGCTTGCAAATGGTTGTCTAGCTCATTCTCCTTATCTTCTTAAAGCAAAAAAAAACAAAACACAAACTTGCAAATGTCGAGACACAAATATTTCATATTTGTCACCAGTAAAATTTGCAAAGTCATGCTTGTTGTTGACTTTCATCTATACAATACCGAAGCATTAGGAGAGGGGCCACTTGTCTTTAGTCAGAATGTCAAACACTTCCAAATTGCCATGTGTGTTCATTTATAGCAAGTCTCAACTTGGAAAACCTGAATGACCAAGAATTACTTTACATCATGTAAAGCATATTTTAATTTAAATGGGCAAAAACACCCATGCAAAAACTTAAAACAAGTGTAATCTAAAAAAAAAAGTAGTAGTAGCAAGTAAGATACTGCCCTGTTGGGTACTTATTATAGCATCATGTTATCAAAATATACATGTTAGTGCTCTTTACTTATTAGCACCACGTATGAAGCAACACTCATGGTACAGTTAAGGGTAAATAATCTTAAATTAATGCTTAGAAAAAAGAAAGCATCACTTGTGATTTTCTGTTGACCAACACTGCCACATGGTGGCCATAATAGCTCAGCTACTTGTTGAGCCATTGTGTGGCACATGAAACTAGAAACAACTTCATCATTTGCAGTCATCACACGGAAAAATACTGGAAATTGTACTTAAAAGGTATTTGATTTAAAAAAATATATATTTGTATATGCATATTGTGCACACATGTATTAGATAGAATCAAATGAACACAACGTTTCTTAAATCAATTCATAACACATCAGAAAACAGTGCATGGGACACATATTAAAGGACAAAACATGCAACAAAAAGTAATTTAAAGTAATAAGTATATGAGGCCATGTAAGCCATGTATAGTTCCACTTTAGACCCATATATCCCACGAACCTACTCGCTACAAAAAATGCGTCAAGTTAAACTAAATCCAAAAAGACCACTTCCCGTTCAAATTTATAAACCAAACCTACGTTTTATATTTCTTAGTTTTAAACGTGAATAAGTCGTACCATTGTCAATTTGATTAAGTCTTTTTTTTTTTTTTAAACATTTTATGTTTCACATAGGCTATAGAAATTATTTTCGATGAATCATAGCCTTATTTTAGTAAAGGTAGGTAGGAGTATTTGCTGGTAACAGCTGTGTATAGGAACATTGACGCAATTTCATGAAAATATTTTGGTGACCAATAGCATAACATTTTTATCATCATTAGAAGCACATTTTTGTATTTGTTAGTTTATTAGATATCAATATTTATTTCCTTTAACAACAGTGCATGCTTTTGCAGTGAAAGCAAAACCGCCTTACTTCCTGTCTCGCTTGTTGCGCTCCAGCTGGTTTGACGCTTGACGCACCTCCATCACCTCACCGCACCGCCCTGCCGCTCCAGCTGTTCCCACCGCTGTTCGCCTGCTGCTACCCCGCTGCTCGCTGCTGCTGCCAGCCCCCATTTCCAATGCAGCAGCGACCATGACAGGCATCGCCGCTGCGTCTTTCTTCTCCAACGCTTGTAGATTCGGGGGCTGTGGACTCCACTTCGACTCTCTGGCCGAGCTCATCGTGCACATCGAGGATAACCACATCGGTAAGAGTCGAGAAGTCATGAGCGCCGCAGCTAGCAATGGCCGAGGATTGCAGCTAGCAGGAGTGGCTACGTTAGCGAGCTAGCAAGTTACTTCCTGCGTCCTGACAACCCTGTTGCTAGGTGTGGTGGCTGTTGATGTTTCCATGTTGGAAATACAGTACCTCTCCACCACCTAGCATTGTTTAAAGATGCGTTTCAAAAGATAAGACAGCTACAACATCAAATGAGCCGCACTGACACAAAGACAGGAAGACTTTCTTGACGCTCCGTCGGGTCGCTCGTTCATCAATATTTGTAGCGTGAGGCCGCGCGAGGAGCCGCCAGGGAAGCTCGTGAGAGAAGTTGCAGTCTGCAGGAGCCAATGAACAAACACTGATTAAATAACAGCCTGCAAAAAGTTTACACAGTTATAGACTACTTATGAAAGAAATGCACTCTTTCCCATCCAACTGTCTTATGTCATGTTGTGTAGGCTATTTACCTTTTTAAAAGCGTCAGCATTTTTAAAATGATATAGGCTACCAAAGTTCAACAAAGTATGTATCTTTAGGTTACTGGTTTACAATGTTATTAATATTAACATTATTATTAACTTACTGCCAGTTGAAACACAATAATTTATATAAAGATATCTACTGACAAACAAATATATCCGTAAAAAAAGAATGTAGCCTATTTTAAAATGTTCAACTCTTGAACATAGATTATTATAGTAGGTCTATTGTACGCTATATGTTTTCAAAATTAATTAAAATTGAGGGCATACTGGATTGTTTAAATTAATTATTACATTTCAAAATACTTTTTTTTGTGGTCGAAATTGTATTCAGTTAAATACCTATTTTATTTTACCATATAGAATTGGTATTTCTCTCCTGACTGCACATCAAGTTCTACTCCAATCAGCAGCGCCACCTCTAGATCATGAGGAGTAACACAATAACAAAAGCTTCCTCTTGGTTCAGATCACAAACAAATCCGGTACTTTAACAAAAAAAAAAAAAAACACTTAATTGAAGAATACTGATTGAGCAACTTATATGGTAATTGTTGACTAATTCGTAATGGCTTTCAAATAAATGCAGCATCAATAAGTTTATGAACTGTAGTAGCCTATTTACTGTAAGGGATCAACACATTAATTGAGCCCAACATAATCAGCCTGTTTTGAGGGAGGGACGCTGTGGGCCAGTTGATGTGCATACAACAGTTTTATATTGGTCAGAGTCACTGTGTGTTTAGTTGAAAAGTCATGCTTTATTTACTTTAGTGAGATGTAAAAATAAACCCATGTGGTTGAGTACATGAGAACATCATGCTAGAGGTTTTAAATTGAATTTCAAGGTGGTTATGTTTTCATTACTATTGGCAAATGAAACAATAAGCTCTCAGAGTCAGTATTTATAGCAGGGGTGGGCAACTGATGGCCCCCATCAACCCTCAATGTGGCCCTCAGGTCAATTTTTACATATCAATTAATTGGAAACATGAAGAAAAGATGACAAAATCTGACATGAAATCATGAAAACCAGAAATATGTCCAGAATAATATTTGATCACTGGTAAATGTTGAGTTAAATCTGAGACATAATCGACTGTAATCGTTTTTGTATACTACAATTTGTCCCCCTGTCAGTGAGAATTGAATAAATGTGGCCCTTGCTGTGACCAAAGTTCCCCATCCCTGATTTATAGGAACATATTATGTTTCATTATTTATTTATTGTTCATGTTTTGGTAGGAGAGCATACAAATGTTTTTTTTTAAGAATGGTCTAAGCTTTAAAAAATATTTAATCCTGCAAGCCTTCTTTTTTAAGATTTATGTTTGGTATTTTATGCCTTTATGTGATAGGACAGTGATAGAGAAATCGGGGAGAGAGAGAGAGTGGGGAATGACATGCGGTAAAGGAGCCACAGGTTGGATTTGAACGCAGGCCGTCCGCTTGGAGGACTATCCTACATGTACATGGGGCGTGACCTAACAACACATTTGTGCTGTATTATAGGAAGGCATAAGATCATATTTGTTGTAAAATAATACAAGATACATTTGATAAGATTCCTAAATCTGTGTCATTTTCTGTGTTTAAAGCAGCAAAGAAATGACAGAAAAGGAACACACAGTGCACAAATCAAGAAGTTAAAGTAAAAGTAAATATAAAATGTTACTTTTTTTTCTGAAAGCTTTTATATGTTTCAACACAATCCCAGAAATAAACCTCCCTCCTCTCAGTGTGACGCTCTGTTAGTTCCTCCATCTGTTTCCTAATTTAATATTACACTCTTATTATTGAAGCTGACAAGGCCCAGCTGTCTCTGTTATTCTTGTTTGTTGCTTGACTTGCTTTAATATTCTCTGCCCTCCGATTGTGTGCTGTGCATGTGTCCAAGGTGTTAGCTTTAGAAAAAAACGCCTCTGAATGACTTATTGGGGAATAATGAGGCAATTAGTTGGGCCAGAGTGGAAAACTTTGCTACCCCCCTCCTCTGTCCGCTGGCCTGTGCCCACTCTGAGAAGTGCGAAATCTTGCGCGTTGTGCCAAGTGCCTGTGAAGCATAATTACAGACAGAGTGCTTGATTTGGCCTGTCTTCCTCCTCATCTGGTGGCCTGCTGCTTAAAGCACATTCTCCTTTATAATTAGGCGCCTGGAAAACAAGCACACATTCTTGTCCCCTTTTTCTCTATACGGCCTGCAGGTGAGGTTTTTGGACAAGAGGTGGCGCTGCTCTGCTTTTGGTCAGGGAGCATTCTTGAGGGCCTTGGTCTGCACAGTTAAGGCTTATTATAAAACATATTATAAACAAAAATCTGACTTCCTCAGCTCATGTAACAACACAGTGAATTGTGTCATAAGATATCCAGGTCAAAGGACCCGGCTTCAGTAATGTGAAATATTTTAAAGGATCATTTGTAAGCTATTGAGAACAAAAACAATCAAGGGATACTTCTCATGTTTGAATAACATTTCTGACTCTATCCACTCTCTTGATAAAGGCATAAAAAATCCCAAAATAAATCTTAAAAAAAGAACACAAATCAAAGTGCTGCGTCTTTCCTGAAAAACTTAAGTTGTTACTGAACATTAAATAGATAAAAATAACATTTCAAACGCCAAAATAAATCCAATATCAGTGATATAATAAGACATAAATGAATCAGGGTTTATTTGCATACTGTTGTCGATTCAAGTTAATAAAATGAGTCAAAACTCCATGGCACACTGAAAATAACTTTACTATATTTTATTGTGAGCTAACAACGCGTTTTGCCTGTAGCTTCCTCAGGTTTGCGCTGCACAATCACAGGGCATACAGGTGCCTAAAATACAAATCGACACATAACCAATCATCACAATAAACACTATACTGGGTCACAGCCTCTAATGAAAACCTTAATGTGCAAAATACAGTAAAGTTAAAGTAAAGTAAGTGTGCCACAGAGTTTTTAATTTACCTGAGAACATGTTTAGACTGTGCATGGGGTACCCTGTTGGCCATTTAGATTAACAAAATGAGTGTTTGGTTGTCCACTTAGTCCACTGTGAAATTAAGCCAAACAATAATAATGTAGACTTTAATGAGCCCCCTAAACATCATCAAATTTCAAGACAGAATGGTTCATGTGTAGCTTGAAAGCTCTTCTTGTGCAGCTTGAATAACTGCTCGCACTAAGCTATTGAAACGTTTACTTTGTCACTGAGTGACCAGGCTGCTGTGGACCAGAAGCAAACAGCAACCATGTTATTCAGACCTGTGAGTGTATGTTTATACGTACTGCTGAGGCCTGAAGTGTCCATGCTCTGTAACAATAGGTCTGTTTGTTGCCAAATCTCACTAAAGGCTCATTTAGTAGATTTTGGTGGGGCACCCCCCTCACAATCTGCATGGAAGTAATAAATTTGGGAAGCAGTAACTAGTTCCCTGATCTGTGCACCTGGTGGGCCTAATTACATTTCCCCATCCCCCAACACCGCTGCTCCTGTTCTTGTGTGGTGGCTGCCGCATGAGGGGCTCCTCTACTCGATAAAACGTTCCTCGTGGGAGATAATGTAAAGCCTGTGATGAGGACGAAACACAATATGGGGGTTGTAGTTCTATGCAGATCTAAAAAGCGAATTTTGTTGATATTTTTTCTCAAAAGATTTTGTAAAGTACTTTTGGAAAATGTTGAACAATATATTTTCTGATGTCAAATGATAAAAATGTAGGTAATTCTCTTGACCACCGCAATGAAATGTGTTTGTCAGTTCTAATTGGAACCCACAATTTTTGATTGAATGGTTCATTTTCATGTAACAATTTGCAACCATAGTTCCTTTTCTTTTAAAATGTAACCCCGTAATCCTCTGGACTTTGTCACAAGTTTGAGAGCTGAAATTCCCTCCATTTTTTTTACTGTGGATTTAAACCAAATTGTAAGTGACCCTCATTGACTTTTCCAGCATTTAAAAAAAATCAGGTTTGAAGACACAAAGTAGTACAATAAGACTAATTCTTAAATGTGTGATGGACATGAAATGAATCCCCATCTGTTTTGATTATGGTTGAATTCTTTCTGTCATTCTGAGTAAAAATACCATTTTGAATATTTTGTAAACAAGATATTCTTGAACCCTGTGAACGACAACACTTTGGACATTTTGTATATTGAACAATGGATTAATTAAGAATAAAATCATGAGACTAAGCAGATGAAAATAGTAATCATTTATCCCAATGTACTACATGTGCAATTAGCATCAATAAATGCTTGTATTTGTGTCTTTACAAATGTGTTTTTGTAGAGACGTGTGCGTGACTAAGAGCATGTGTATACACATTTCAGCCGTTGTCACTGTTAGATATAAACATCACTTTGCCTCCTCGTGTTTTTCAGCAAACCACAAAGGCAGCTTCCACATGGAGCTTGACTCTGTTTAATTTCCTCCTCAGAGGTCACATCATAATGAATTACCTGTGCCACCACTCCTGGTAATGTCCCCCGCTGCTCAGAGCCG